ATTTTTTAGAAATAAAGAAAAAATTCCCCCTTCACTGTTCTTTATATTGTCCTATACAAAAGTCAACAAAAAAGATATTGTATTGCAGAGAAAGACACCAGGACCAGTGTAATGGTTGCAAGGCTTGGAGGAGATAAGATTAAACTTGTACTCTATGTGGTAAATACATGAGGTTCAACTCCAACACCTTAGGGCATGAAGATCACATTAAGGCACCTCAAGTATTTGGTATTTGCAATATATACACAGTTATGACCATATTCTTTGCTGAGCATTATGAAGATAATGGTTTTGTTAGTTATAATTGGAGGACATTTATCATGTTATATTCATCATCAATAAAAATAAAATCATCATGAAACAGTTTCTTTACATTTAGAACTAGTGTGTGAGCACATGCAGCCATTCTCCTTAATCATTCTCATTTTGTGGTGGGTAATAACAGCTTAATGTGCATCAAGTTCAATGTATTCTCCCCAAAGTTAAATACACTTCTCTATAATACCCTCTAAAGAATTCATACTTGACAAAATGTTTGTTTTGCATGAGCAGATCTTTTGGTGTTTTTCACCTTATTCAAGCAAATAGAATGCTGAATAATTACAATGTGAAAACAGCCTTTTTGTTTTTCTGGCTTTTACCTGAAATAATGCATCTTGCTAGAAGAAAATAGATTTTTGTTCTGTTTTATTTTATTTGTTTTTTTTCACCTACAAATAACATAAATAGCAACTAGAAAAGAATAAGCAATTGCACTATGTGGTTTATGTGGTTTATCTGATCTGTGGGCAACTTTAAAGAACAGCTCTCATTCTATTTGCTCACCTGTAGTTTTCTTCTCCCAAAATATGTTTAACCATCAATTGTCTCCCAGTTTGTCATACAAGAGTGGCTTTTTTGTTGCTATAATGCTGGAAGATATGTCACTAGTATTTCAAATATCACACAGTCACCTATGCTTGACAGGTTTCAGCAGAGCTTCCAGACTAAGACAGACTAAGAACCTGGAGGTCTACGATTAAAACAGTTGGCCAGTGAAACCCTTACAACTAGCAGTGGAACATTGTCTAATACAGTGCTGGAAAATGGAAAATATTCAAAATACAACCAGGAGGAGTTCCAGTAAGATGGCACAATAGGCAGACAGACTACACAGACCCTTTTCAACAAAGAAAAGGAGAACCAAAAAACTTAGATACAGAAGATAATCCTGGAGCCTTGAGCTTTGAAAGGAGGGATATAGAAGTGGACTAAACTCCAACTGGTAAAAGACCTTGCATGAAAACACTGAAAAAGGGGAAATATGGACCTGAGGACTGTTAGCGAACCTGATGGTGCAGACAGCTTGGATATTGCCAAGTGGTGTTAGGACCTAAGAATTAACCTAAAAATTGGCCCTGCTATCCAGGGGCTGCATGGAGGACTGCACTGGTGGTTGGGGAATAAAAGTTGAAGCAGTGAAGAAGGAGACGGGGTGAGCTGTGGACTTTTGGCTGTCCAGAGGGCTCAAGCATTTTAAATGCTTACAAAATGGTTCTACCATTTTGAATATTTAAAGTGACAGTGTTCTGTCAAATTCCACAGACCTAAGAATAGGCTCCACTTGCCAGGGACTTCAAGGATATACCTGAAATGAAGGACTGGAAAGGTACAAATTTCCCCTTGTTACGCTTATACTCCCTACTCTTTTGGTGAACAGAAGTGTGGCCATCCATCACTCCCACCCACCTTCTGGGCTGGCAGAAATTCCACCCCAGTCTGTGAGCTCTGATGAAGTCTGAGTGCCCTGCCTCACCCTGCTCAGATTTTTTTTTCTTTCTTTTTTGTTCGTTTGTTTGTTTTTGTCTGCTTAATATTCCTTTTTTCCTTTTTCCCCATCCTTTTTCTTATTATTCTGTCTTCTTCCCTTCCCAGGGTCGAGTTTTCAGCTTTTTTCTCTCTTCCCTGTTCCTGGTTCCCATCTTTTTCTTTCTTCTGTTTTTTTCCCATTCCTTGGTTTTCTTTTTGCATTTTTCTCATTTTTTCTTCATTATTCTCCTATTCTACCTCTTTT